TCTCATGTGGACTTGCAGTCTCCGTAGGTCACCCTAAGTGGGCTTGTAGAGATTCAATGGGAACCGAGACTCTTATTGTTAGCAGGGAGCTCTCATTGTGAAAATAGATGTAAAAGTGAATTCTTTCAGTCTGGCCTCAAGACAGTGAAATGGAAAGCATTTCATTTCAAAGTCTCAAATGTCAAGAAGAACTTGACATACACTACTCAAAAACTTGTCAAAAGGTAGGCTAGTCATTGAAGTTCAATTTTAGACTCCATGGGGTTTTTTTGTTGTTTTGTTTTTCTCTTTCCTACTACTCGGCTGTGTTAAAGACACTTTTCGTTCCTGTCTAAATCGTACGCCGATAGGCATCCCAACATTTCTGGGCGCAGCCATTTCATTATGAGAACTATCTGTTTCAGGCTGTAGCCTGCACAAGCAATGCCTGAAACTGCTAGAAGCGCGAGTATTCCATTGAAGCCTTTCAGCATTGGAACTTGCTTTATGAATCCTTCTCACGCTCACTGCCATCAAGTCCATGCTGAAACACCCTGTAGGTTTCTGAGACTATAACTGTTTGCAGGCATAGAGAGCCAGGGCCTTCTCCCTCAGAGCTGCTGGTGGTTTTGAACTGCTGACCATGAAGGTCTTAGCCCAATGCCTAACCACCAACCAAGGCTCCAGGGCTCCATTACATTTATCAATTGAAAACACTTATTCATTCAGTGGCTCTCCAACGTGGCACAGCAGGGTGTGTTTGCTTTCAATTGTGCTCATGCTTTAACTGCCTCTGAAATGGCATCGTCACTGTGTGGTCCAGAATTGGGATGGACAAAAAGAACATCTGAGCAGGGGCCCCTCCCGGTCACGGGGAACTAATGAAATGTGATCTAGTCAGATAGCATGTGACCTGGTCCTTCAGCCATCTGCAAATATCCAACATCTTTTTAGGAACTAATGATGAAAATTCTGGAGATATCATTATAATATAAAATTATGCAGGCATCGAGGGAAATATATTTGTATACCTCATGACGAAAGTTGGGTGGAAGCTCAGGAGTACTATTTACATTTATATATACTGATACCATGTAATTAAAGTCAGCAGATAAACACATCAATATGTTAAAACAGATGTAAAAATACATAGATAGACATATTGCACTGAAACCTCGATATTGCATCCAAATGAAATCCTGTATTCCAAATATGCCCCGTAGGAGTTTTGCTCAAGGCTATGCTTAGGTATACTCAAAAATTCCTGATAGCGAGTCACCAGGGAAACATGTTCTTTTACAGATAATTGCTACTGGCAACCAGAGACCTCGAGAATCTAATGTTCAGTAATGTGACCTGACTATGTATTAGACTTTTTTTGAAGGACACGTGTAAAGTAATTTTTATGTCTCTCACACACCTTGGGTTTTTTTTCTCCCCTCCCTACTTGCTAGCACATTTTCAGGCAACTTTCTTGTTTTTAAGATAGATGTTAGGGTTTTTTTTCTTAAGAGTTTTCAATCACAAAAGATATACATATTATTTTCTTCTTCACAACAAGAAAGCAATCAGGAGATAAGGAGAAATCCCACTTGAGTTGTAAGGAATATGTAAACAAAACAAAGTTCTATTATTGATAATGAACTTCAGGAAAAATGTGAGGAATAATAAGAGTTGCTTACAGACAAGAGAAATTAGAGATTAACTGATTTCTCTAAGGTTGGGAGGCATCTTTGCTGCTATTTAAGGCAATAATTACAAGCTTTTCATTAAATCTAGGGGTATTTAGGAGATGGTTCCTGAGGTATTTTAAATATACTGCTTCAGAAGCTATAATTAATAACTTGAAAAAATTATAAATTGGCAAGGGCACATATGTGCAATGATACAATTCAATGAACAAGTATCATCACTGCTAATTACTGTGGTTCCTTTTTTCCTGTGTTATTATGCCATCCTCATTTTATTGTTCAATATTAACATGTAAACCTTAATTAAGCATAATGTCAGAAGGTTCTAAGAAAACTGCTAAGGATTTTGCAAGGTAGTTCAGAGGCTGGCTCGGCAAGAATCGCTGGAACAACCAGGGAGTGTGAACTCTAAATAATGTGTTTTTGTGCCAAGAGTGATATGAATTATTAGGGACTGACACTGGGAATTAGTTTCGAAGAGCAAAAATCCAGAGGGAGAAAAAGATATAAAAATCGAGCCATCACATAGCAAAAGATCAGGTGTATGAAGAGGCTGCAAAAAGCTGGGACTATCACACCCGTTTATTTAATGACAGGCAGCACTTCATAGACTTACACACTTGCCAGAAAGATGAACATCCAAAATGACAACTTATCAGGAAAATGATATATTTCAAGTTTCCATTAAGATCATTAAAATCCACATTCCTTTTTCAGATATGCAAATGAGTTTCCTACAGAACCCCGGGAAGGAGGGTAGGATTTGGTCTGTGCTCCCTGAAGAGCTGCCGAGAAAATACGTACAGGGCACTCTCGCTTCAGATCTGGATACCATTGACTTCGCATCTCTTCGCCGTCTTGGGCCCAGTCTGCGCTGACACAAAAGGAGCCCGGGACACACGTGGTGATGTGCCGGGCGGCTAACTGAGAGCCTGGTGCTGTGAGCCCATCAAGGACTTCTCAAGGAGAAAAGACCTGTGGTCTTCTCTTAAGAGTGGCGGTTTCCAGTGCCGTGCAAGCTTGCTCTGCGTCAGAATCGACTCAGCGGCACACACCAGGGAAGGAAGAAAACTGTTGCGAAAGAGAACAAATGAAGCCAAGAGTTTGTCACTTATTCATCATTCCTGGAAGAAGATTCAACGGGATGAAATGAAAGTTCAGGTGAAATGGAGAGAGGGAGTCCCACAAAGTCCAGGAGGCCTACAGAGTTTATTCTCTGTAACCAGGGAGGGATTGGGTGCTTTCTCGATCATGCTGGGGAAGCAGTGCCCTGCTGAGGTTGAGAGTTGGCCTGTGCCAATTACCAGTTCCTGGTGGCTAGGGAGGATCCCTGGTAGAACTGTCAGGTAGAACCACTAGATGGGTGGGTCAAACCCACCAGCTGTTCTGAGGGAGAAAAATGAGCTATCTGCCCTTGTAAAAGTTTATAGCCTTGGAACCTCTATAATGGGTCACTCTGAATTGGTATCAATTCTGTGGGAGTGAGTGGTGGGTTGGGTAGTGCAGGGGGCTATGTGTTGGGTTGTTACAAGGTGAGCAGTTTGAATCCACTTGTGGCTTCTCAGGAGAAAGACAAGGCCCAGAAATGCAAAGGGATCATTTGTTCTGTGCTACGGGGTCCTTATGAGTCAGAAAAGACTTTGGTCGCAGTGAATTAGTTTTATGGCTGTATGACTTTGGATAATTCACCTAACTTTCCATGACTCTGTCTTCCCATCTGTAAGATGAGCAACCAAACAGTCTCTGCCTCCCAGGATTGTTGTCTTGAGTGAGGTTGCAGGTACAAAGCCGTGATTCCCTCACTCCTCGAGTTCATAAACCGCAGTCTCTGCTACGGAGCCCCTCCGTTCCCACTCGGCCCCTCAGCCTTCCTGAAGCTGTGCATCACTGTAGAAGCAGACTGCCCCATTGGGTAAAACACCGACTGTTCTGTTGGCAGCCAGGAATTGCAACCAATGTAGGTCAGGACCCCTGGCAGATAGCCCAACATCTCACTGCCCTTGATTCCATGTTCCAACTCAGTCCTGTTTCTGGAACTGCCCATCTTTACAGGAGCTGATAGCTTCGTCTTTCTCCCAAAGAGCAGCTGGTGGGTTTGAACTCCCCACCTTCTGGTTCGCAGCCCAACACCTAAATCTCAATTACATCAGGATATATAAATGCTCACTATTCGTATTTTTTCAAATACTGGAGAAAACCTTTTGGGGCTTTCCAACTCTGATGAGTGCCATCAGCAAGGTTTTGTCCTCAGAAGCAAAGCCATATTGATCTTCGTAGTGAAACTCTATGACAAAAATGACTCTCCAAACCGTACAAGACATGTTGAAAACATTGTCTGTATCACACCCCTTTCTTTCTCCATAGCAAAGGGCTGTGGTTTTCTTTCTTTTAACATTTATAACTTGGTCTATTGAAATAGTTCAGTGAGTGTTAGAAGTTGCCAGTCTTTGTTCACTAGGAATGCATTCTCCTCCAGGGCAGGGAGGGTGCTTTTTTATAAGCTTTTTGTATAGATTGGGGTACTCATAAGCATTAAACCAACCTTAAAACGGGTTGATCTTGTTGGGAGTACAGGTAGTATATAAAGAAAAGAAACCTGCCTCTACCAGGTAATAAAGCAGTATATAAAAGTGGAAAGTAGCTTTTCATAAAGAGGCTAACTTAATTCGTTATAAAATTAGTATGTTTCACATTTTACAAAAACTCTGCTTCTGGTGTTCCAATGTCATATAAAATATCCTGAAAAGAAACTCAAGGATAACATAGCCCTCAATTGTAAAGTTGAAACACTGCATTCCAGAGTGGCTGAAGAACACACACACACACACACACACACACACACACACACACACACGTCGTTCCTTAAACAAACCCTGAACAGCAAGCTCAATAGAGACATTGCACACACCTTGGAAAACATGTAAATTTTTGTGTTTGCAGTCCTGCAGAAAGTCAACAGAAACATGTGACGTTCATCGTGTTAGTGTTTTCTCACCCCAGGGTACACAAGTTAATATCACTTCATATCTACGCAGTGTAAAAATGATCAATGAGAGAGTTCGTTGTTTTTCTCTGTGAAGACTTTGAAACCCGGTACGCATTTTATCACGACAGCACATTCCAACACAGACTGGCCGCATTTCAAGTACCCTGTGACCTCACGTGGTAAGTGGCTATCAGACTGGACAAGACAGCCCCTGGAATGAGAGCCATGTGGGGCTGTATTTTTAGCAAGGTGGCAGGATTTGTGGGCCTGGCAAAGAGCTGTGCTTCAAGCCTACATTTCAAAAGAGACTTTACTAGGGCCTTTGGCTTTCAGTGTCACCGGTGTTGGACACATCGCTATTCCTGTTTTTTAATTTTTCTTTTAAGTGTTCCCAGAGTCCTTGTGTGCCTCTCGGATGCCTTGTAGTGAGGTCTGTTCCCGTAGAACAAATGGAAATTGGCTTTGGAATTCATGTGCCTGAAGAAAAGTCATCTCGACAGCTGCCGGGGCAGACTCAAGCTCACACAAGGTGAGAGAACGCCACCTGGGACTTCTTTTCTTTTCTTTTTTAATACTAGGGGTGGAAATAAGGAGGTAGAGGAATGCCTTGTTACCGTGCCAGATGAGACAAACAGGTGGCACAAGGAATGAACAAATAAAGGATGAAGGGAAGAGCAGCAGGTTACGGCCTCAGGCAGAGCAAATACAAGATTCAGCTGCTGCAGGTTCAAGCCTGAGGCGGGATAATCGAACTGACTGTGGCAGACAGAAAATCAGACCTGTCAACAGGACAGTTCATCCTTGAATGTATACAGCTAGCAGAGTATAGAAAGGAATGCGGAGCCAATCAGCATCACTGTGCAGCCTCACTTGCTGTGAAAGCTGGGTCCTTTCAGAAAGAAACCCTGGCCCCTTCCTTTATTCATCAGATGCTGCTGACAAACACGTGCTGTGATCGGTGCCGTGTGCATTTTCTACTGCTTAAACATTTCTTTTCTAATTTTGCACACCAAAGGGATACATACAGGCAACCGACCCCAAATGCAAGCAATCGTACTGAAACTGGAAAAAATATGAGGAGAAATAAAAATGTTTCTAAAAATACTTCCCTGTGAGGGGCCCTACATATAAATGAGGAAAAACCAATAACCTCCCTCTTCCACACAAATAAATCATCACAGAACCAACCCCAATGCCTTCTGAAATGAAGCCTGACACACACAAAAATACAAATCCCTAAAAAAAAAAGAGAGAGAGAGAGAGAAAGAAAAGAAAGTATGTGCAAAACCTATAATAGATCAAGGAGAAAAGCGCCTTCTTTGCCTCCCTAGCGGACTTCCTCTCGATCTGCAGACACACACAGCAGAAATAAAGAGACATGAGCTACAAAGAACTCTACATGGAGGGCCTTTCTGTGGTGGAGAAAGCCATGAGAGACTGGCAAGGTCAAGGAATACCTAGATTTCTTTCTCCCCTGGAGACCCAACAACTTGGACTTAGACTTAGGTGTCTGGTGGAAGAATTCTTTTGAATCATCCCCGCTAGATTTTATGATCAAACAATTATTTGAAATACCTAGAAATAAAATGATGGCTGGAATAAAACAGGGAAATCACCTGGTTTCAAAATAAAGGGTGTAATGGTCATAACTTAAAAATATACAGCAGGGAACAGGGGAGAAGAAGAGGTGGCAAAAAGGGAGTGGGGAGCCAACAAACCTAGGGACAAGGGAATAACAAGAGATCTAAAGTCAATGGCGAGGAGGGCGTACAATGCCTGGTGGGGTTCCATCAAGTGCAATGTAGCACGAGGAAGTACAGGGAACCAAATGAAGGTTGAACATGATAGTGGGATGGGAGGAAGTTAAAGCAAATGGAGTAAAGAATTAGGAGGCAAAAGACATTTATAGAAGTATAAACATAGGCATGTACATATGTAACTATATTAATATATAACGGCAGGGATATAGGTTTATGTACATATATTTTTAGGCTAAGTATTAAGGTAGGAGACAGCCATTGGGTTCTACTCACATCCTGCCTCAACACAAGAACATTTTGTTCTAATAACCTGACATTCTGTGATGCTCACCTTCCTGACACAATTGCTGAAGACAAAATGGATGCATAAGCAAATGTGGTGAAGAAAGCTGTTGGTGCCCGGCTATTAGAAGATATAGCATTTGGAGTCTTAAAGGCTTGAAGTTTAACAAATGGCCATCTAGCAGGGAAGCAACAAAGCCCACATGAAATAATCCCACGTGATCATGAGGTGTCAATGGGATCAGGTATCAGGTATCAGAAGGCCTCAAACAAACAGGTATTTTGATGCAAATGAGGGGGGTCAGAATGGAGACCCAAAACCCATGTGTAGAAAATTGGACATCCCTTCACAGAAAGGTCACAAGGAAGGGATAAAATAGCCAGGGTATAGTATCACACTGACAAAACACAACATTCCTCTAGTTCTTTAATGCTCCCCCCTCCCACTATCTTGACCCCACTTCTACCTTAAAAATCTGTCTAGACTAGAATATGTACACTGGTACAGATAAGAGCTCTCAACACAGAACCCAGGACAGATACCCCTCAGGACAAATGTTGAGCATAGGGATACCATGAGGGTAGGGGGAAGGTATGAGGAGAAGGGGGACAAAGTGGGAACCAATCACGTACAACATCCCCCCATGGGGATGAACAACAGAAATGTGGGTAAATGGAGACAGCAGATGGTACAAAATATAAAAATAAAAATAATTTATAAATTTTCAAAGGCTCACCAGGGTGGAGGGTAGGGGATGGAGGGGTACAAAGAGGAGCTGATATCAAGGGTTCAAGTAGAAAGAAAATATTTTGCAAATGATGATGGCAACGTATGTACAAATGTGTTTGATACAATGGATGTATGGGTTGTTAAAAGAGCTGTAAGAACCCCCAATAAGATAACTTATTAAAATGAAAAATATATACATACACACATATATCCTACATGTTATGTTCTCCTTGTTCTATGTTGGGGAAAACCTGTTAATCAGCTGCCACCCCATACATCACGCAATCTCCTTTGCACCAGTCATTCTCTGGCAAGAATGGCACAGGAGGAGCTTCTCCCATTTAACTCCTGAGCTGCCTGGAACAGGATTTCAGACTGAGAGGCTTGTCAAAGAGCCCTGGTGGTGTAGTGGCTACCCTTTGGGCTGTGGTCTGCAAGGTTAGCAGTTGGAAGCCAACAGCTGTGCTGTGGTAGAAAGAGGGGTTTTCTGTTCAAGTAAAGAGTTACAGTGTTGAAAACTCACAGGGGCAGCTTTCTCCTGCCCTATAGAGTCACTAGGAGTCAGAAGCCACTCAGTGGCAATGAGTTGGGTTTTTAAATATTTGTTTTGTTTATGAGTCTTGCCAATGCCATTGAATACACAAGCACCCAGCCTTACAGGGAAAGGACTGCCTTTGCTGGTGGCCTGGCTAGGTGAGTGTTTTCCCACCTCTACTCAATCAGAGGCAAATGGAAAAGAAAAGGAAGAGAACATTCTCCAGCAGAAAGCACCACAGCAGTGCCTTTGGTGGAAGGGGCCAATATATACTGACTATAGACGGCCCTATCACCCCGGCCGGTCTCCTGGTCATCAACCATTCTGCCCTGATGCCTTATCCTCTCGTGCCTCTGGTGCCTTATCCCTGGACTCCTTTAGAACCAGATGAGGCCTTTTAGGATCAACCTCTCCATTTATGAAGGAAATTGATGCTCCAAGAGAAGCCCATTAACTGTTGTGAATTCACTACATCATTAGTTTCACAACCAGCAGCCAGATCACAAGTGTTCATTGCTTCCCATGGTTCCTTCTGAGTACAGAAGCAGACTCCCAAGTGTTTGAGAAAAATACTGAAAGGTCAGAGGTTCAGACTTGCACAGAGATATCTTGGAAGAAGAATCTGGTGATGTGCTCCTGAGAGGCTTTGGTAGCCATGAGCACTCCTTGGTGTGCAGTCCTGTCTCCTGGCAACTGCTGTAGCATTTTTGGTTCTAGGGGTAAAGAGGTGGGGAAGGTAGAAGGGAGAGTTCTGGGAGTTAGAAGGCCTGTGAACTAGGATCATACATACAGGAACTAGAAACCATGGAGGGCTCACAGAGCAAATGGGAGAAGTTGGCAGTATCAGAAGCTAGAAGCACAGAAGACAGGCCCCAGGTTGCTGGGGCTCAGACCTCTGAGGAAAGGATGCTATAGGTTATTGCTTTCAGGGAGTGGGGTGAAAGTGGTGGGTGGTTATTGATGGGACTGCTTCTTGGGGGCCAGAAATAGAGCTGGAGCCTAGAACTAGCTCAGCTGTCCACAGTGAGCTCGATGCTAGCTACTGATGACAAGAATCGGCACCCCAAGAAGCAAGTCCCTTCCTCCACCTCCTATCTGCCAGTCTCCCTGTAGCATCTCCTTCTGGTGGGCCTGAGGAGGGTGCCAGCTGACAAATCCCACATGCTGTTTCCGGAGTCATAGCCTCAGCATCACAGCAGCCAAGTGTCGGGAGGCGGGATTTGGAGCTTGAAGGAGGCGGGATTTGGAGCTTGAAAGGGGTCTGGCAGTGAACGGAACAGCCTTAGGAAATCTTGTCTTTGGTTGCAAGGTGGCAAAACAGCGTGGTAAACCCCCATGTGCACCCCACTGAGGTCTGGGTGAGACCGGTGAGTCATGTGATATACACTACGGTGTTGAGACAGCGACCTGCTTCTACTATCACTATTGACATGAGAGGCCTGGTCATATGATCAGACCAAAGTCTGAGAAGCAAGAGCAGAGAGGGAGCTTCTAACCTCTGTGGGGCCTGGAGCCAGAGGGTGAGTGCTGAGACAGGTTCCAAGAGTCGTTGTTTGGACAATGAGCCATCAAAACCAGGTGTCAGGATCTGAGGCTGGCACAGGGGCAGGTCTGCAGCTATTTCCTACAGAGCCCAGGATAGACCTGGATTATAAGACCTTCTGAGACGACTTCCATGGGGATCAGGAAGCAGAAGGAGGGCTGACAGGCTCTTTGGGCCACACCTGGTGGAGAAAGACAGATTAAGGGAGGGAAATCCACTTGAAAATCTGTACTGGGTAACTTGTTCCCTGCTCTCTGGGGTAGCAGGGAGAGATGTCAAAAACAGGAGGAAACTCTGGTGATGGTGGATTTGCTCATTACCTTGATTGCAATGATTTCATGAGTCTAAGCATGTGTCAAAAGTTATTCATTGGGCACTTTACTCTGGTTAGTGCTGCAATAAAAAATTAAAATATGTAAATAAAAAGAGCAACTGTAATAGTTGGCTATTGTGGCAGGACAAACCATCTCACAACATGGTGGCTTATAGCATCAATCCTGTTGTAGCTGAGTTGGCTGGAGGTTGGCTCCTCTAGGCTGGGCTCAGCTGAGACAGCTCCTTCTGCTAGTGGGTTGGCCATGACACTACTCACAGTGCTGGTGGAGGGCAAGGAGAGCAAGCAAACACATGAGATATTAGGATAGGGAAGACCTCTGCTTAGAACTGGTTCATGGTCACT